TAGAAACCCGAACTGCGCCGAAGCTCCGAAGCAGTCAGTAGTTCATGGCAAGATTGCCCTTGGATGCGCTGAGCTGTAAATTTACAAAGCATCAAGATGCACAAGCTCCTCGGTTGGCGCTTTGTCCTTCCGTCGCCTCTGGGAATCCCACGGGTTTGGTAGGATTGGCTCACGTCCGCACAAACTTGTAGCGAGAATAATGCGAACCGCGGGTATCTAGCTGAAGGGCTCCACTTGAGCAACTGTATGTCAGGCAGTCACGGCGTTGTGGGATCAAGTCCAAGCTCCAACTGCAGGCCTTGGCCACTGGTAGTCATGCCACCCGTCATGCCATCCTGCCGCCTCTGAGCCCTACTCCGCAGCACGATGGGCACGCCTTATCTCGCCACCTACAACTTCAAATCGGCAAACTTTTAGTGCCCCGCCCCTGGCTGTACCAACCTTTGCATGTGCAAAAACAGGCTTTTTCTTCGCCTCTTCTTCCGCTTCGGAGCCTCCGACTCCTCTGCCGGCGCCTTGCTGGACACAGGGCGAAAGAGACGATTCTGACAATACAAGTCGGTGTGATTCTGCTGTTTTCTTGAAGCGGGAGCATCTTCCCAGCCTTTCCCTCTTCCCCAAGGTCCGGAAGGTGCTATATTGCGGCGAGATGTTCCAGCCGCGTGATGTACTGCCATAGCTAGGCACTAGCCTGAAGCATCGTTTATCGTGTTGGAATCCGGCGGCCCGCTCGTGGACAGCGGTGCCCTCAGCTCAAGCTGTAGCTTGAGTTGCTGCTTGGCTTCGATTTCGTGCTCTGTGGCTGCCTTGCGTGTTGGATCCACACCGGGGACAAACACAAACATGGACTGGACATTTCAAGGAAAGGGGCATTAAGCCACTAAGCCCAGCAATGCTGATCGCGATTGCAGCGGACTGCCCGAATGAAGCTGATCATCAATCATGCATATTGCTACATCAGTAGTACAGGACACGGTTGGCTCTGAGGTCGAAATGTGTCTTTTGTTGCTGTGCATTCTCGGTGCTTGCTTTCGTCTTGCTGCTCTGCACTTGTCCTCCGTCCGGACATGTCACAAGGGCCGCTGCTGTTTGCTTGCACAACCATTCGCAAGGAGCCACGCGCTTGCCCAAGCAAAAACACATACACGGTTTCTGCAGAGGCCGTGTTTTTAGTTTTGCTGCGCGTTCACGCGCGAATGCACGCCCAAAACAACACGGCTTCCCCACGGGCCTCGGTTTGCTTCGGTTTTGTCTCGATGCCTCGATGCTTGGGCGCGTATTTTTTTGGAATTCAATGGATCTTAATGGTTTTCGATCACTATTCTAAAACAGCATCTCAAACGGGTTTTTGCGGAAACAGTGTAGTGACACTTAGGCGTTTCAAAGTTCAGAGTGAAAGAGAACTGATTGCGGTGGCACATGGTGCACGCACGGAAATGGCTCACCACGTCATTATTTGCCAGATGCCGTGCAGATCTGGTCCCGTCGTCCTATCATTTACACAGGATCCGGGCTGGGAATATTTTAAAGTGTGGTTGCGGATCCCACCAATTCGGGGGACGGGGGGGGGCAAGTACGAAGGGTAATGAATTCTGGCCGTGATCTTGTGATCTTGGATCCGGCAAAACTTGGGGGAAAACATTTTGGTCGCGCTCCCGAATCCGAACCTGAATCTCGCCACTACGGTCTTGTTCGTCGCAAAGGTGCTGGTCGTCGTCGTCGTGGTCGTCGTGTTCGTCCGCGTATCTCCGGGTTGTACATGGTTTGTGAATATTGATAACATGTTAATGTTGACTGTTTACCAATGGGATTTGGAGAGCATGTTAATGGATTTGAATGGAACTTGATGTTAATGTTTTGAATAGTGTTGTCATAGCATTCCAATGGATTTCTTGTTGATGGAATTCAATGGGTGTTTACTGGCTGTTTAATACGATTGCAATTCATGGAGCTGAATGGATTTCCAGGTTTGGCGAATAGCTTTTTACTCGAACCTGAAGAAGATGTGAACTGCATGTTCGCAGGTTTCCATGACGTGGAATGCAAATCAGACGGACATTGCATGGGTTGTGCAGCATATTTTCAATTCCAGAAGGGCGACGAGAAGCAGCTTTGCACAATTTGATGGAACTTAATGCACGTTCATTGTTACAGTTTCTTGCATAGTGTTGTACTTGGGTTCTAATCGTTCATGGTTCATGGCGGAATTCAGCTTTTGCTGTGCATCCCCCCGGCCGCACTCATTCATGTGCGCTCCGTGCCGGGGCGAAGGCCCACATGCACAGCGAACAAATAACACGGAAAGCGCTTTCGTTTCTGCTGTGCCGGGCGAGGACCTGAACGCACGAGCGGGCGGTGCAATGTTTTGTTTCATTGCGCACCCCGGGAAGTTTCTCACTCATGTCCTCCTCCGATGGTGGGGGTCCGAACACACAGCAACAAAAACCTGGCCGAGACTGAGCACATCATTACAAAATCCTCACCCAATGATAAGACATGTTCCGCTAGGCCACAGTTGGATGGGAGTGGTTGAATAGGGACAACAATACATGAGGCCACTTGAACAAAGTGTAATGGATTGGTCCACGCCACTCCTTGGTCGAATGTGCCATGTGAGGTGATGCGCCTCCGGCTCCTCGGGTGCTGGAGAGGGCCTCGGCCAACCGCAGTCCTTCTTGTGAAACGCAAGGACGGGCTTCCCGGGCCTTGTGGGGTGACTTTTAAATTGAAATCGGCCTAGCGGTAGATCTCTTCTCGCAGATTCATCAAGGGATACATTCAAGGCCCCTGCACCCGAGCCGGCGACTCCTGCAGCGGACGGAGAGGGGGGTTGATGATCAGCACGATAACGTTGGTTTTTCTGTAGAAGTTCTGGACCCTGTGGATTTAGCAGCGAGATGCTGCTACTACTACGACTACTACTACTACTACCACTACTACTACCACTACTACTACTACTACTACTACTACTACTACTACTACTACTACTACTACACTACCTACTACTACTACTACTTCTACTACTACTACTACGACGACGACGACTACTACTTCTACTACTACTACTACCAGTACTACTACTACTACTACTACGACTTCGACTACGACTGCGACTTCGACTACGTCTACGACTACGACTCCTGCTCCTACTCCTGCTCCTACTCCGACTCCTACTCCTCTACTCCTACTCCTATACTCCTACTCCTATACTCCTACACTCCTACTCCTACACTCCTACTCCTATACTCCTACTCCTATACTCCTACACTCCTACTCCTACACTCCTACTCCTATACTCCTATACTCCTATACTCCTATACTCCTATACTCCTATACTCCTATACTCCTATACTCCTATACTCCTATACTCCTGTACTCCCACACTCCCACACTCCTACACTCCTACACTCCTACACTCCTACACTCCTACACTCCTACACTCCTACTCCTACTCCTACTCCCTCCTCCTCCTCCTCCTTGCTCCTTGCTCCTTGCTCCTTGCTCCTTGCTCCTTGCTCCTTGCTCCTTGCTCCTTGCTCCTTGCTCCTTGCTCCTGCTCCTGCTCCTGCTCCTGCTCCTGCTCCTGCTCCTGCTCCTGCTCCTGCTCCTACTCCTACTCCTACTCCTACTCCTACTGCTACTCCTACTCCTGCAGGGTGGCAAATGCCACCGACAACAACCCTTAGGAAGACAACAAGAGCCAGCAGTGGCTTAACTGCTTTACCCCAAAAACCCCAAACGCGCACACAACCCTTTTTTACCGCGCAGCGGGTGGCGCTCGCTGCAATCCGTGCCTGCGCTGCTAGAGCTCAGGCTCTGCGGTTTGGTTACCTTTATGGTATGGCTCTCGCTAGCGTAGGTTACGTGCAAGAACGGGGGACCGACACCAGCGGTGGCGTCTGCTTGACTGGCACCAGCAGCTGCGGCACTACGAAGCTAACTCACCAAGCTCGCAAGGCAACGGAACTACGGTGTGTGCGAGGTGCCCCTTTCAGCAGCCCTACTTTTAAAACTTCGGACTACCGCTCTCACTTGAAGCAGGCGAAAGCGCGGCAGCGGGGATCGTAAAAACACACGAAACGCTCGCGGCTGGCGCAAAGCAGGCGGTCAGCGCGACGAAGCTGGCAGAACGGACGACCAAGCTGCTGAAGTTTTGGCTTGAAGGCGTCGATCGGGCTATGGAGCTTGGTCGATCACTATAGGGGACGAAATGTCCCACCCAGTTCGCGTCACGTTGGACGGTGCCGAGCTGAAATACACACTCGTGATTCGCTTGCGAAGCCCTTGTCAGATTGTGGGATCCCACCAAGAGGGTTAGAGGGTTACCCCATCCGACTCGTCAGCCCGCAGCGCACGGCACCGGAGGAGAGCCGTTTTGGAGTGTAGCGCGCCACGGAACCCTCTGAACCCGAAGCTGTGCACGTCCGATAAGGGACGGCCCTGGACGGTACGCACCTCCACATTAGAGTCCACCAGCGTCTGAAGGACGCGGCCCGACTCCTTGCATGCCTGCGCCTTTTGCTGGTCGATAAGCGAGCGGGCGACGCCACCGCGGGAGCGTGCGACGATGGCACAATCCGTAATGCGGGGGACTTGCTGGGGTCATCGTATGTGAAGGCCGTCATGAGCATCTCGATGCATCAGCATCGGTCCCTTCCTGCAATAAGCGGTTCAAGAAAGGAGGGTAGCGTCTCGGACGCGGGCGCGACTGTCACAGCCTGCCGAGCTTTGTTATCGCGGGACTGTCGGAGTACATGCTGAGCACGAACCTGCGCTGCAAGGCCCCTTGCTCCCGCCTGCTAGATGCGTCCACTCCTTCCTCAGAAGCATAAGTTCGAATTGAGCTCCCCCAGAACCCGTGCTTTTCATGCTCCTACATGACGAGTCACCGGTGATGCTGGCATCGTCGGCGCTTACCACTGCAAGCTGCAGTTCTGGTGCACTGCGGGCAGGAGACAAAGGCAACTTAGGGGTAGAAACATTGGGAGCTTGCTGGGCCGATGGCACCCAACTGGAATGCCACACTGACATGTACTCCTTGTCCTTTGAAGTCTCCTGGTTCGAGGTTCGAGCAGAGCTGATGCACTGAGGCGCGCCCAGCGGGATTTAGACCGCATAGCTTAACCGGTTGGCGCTCCGATTCTGCTACGTCCAGGACGAGCTGCACGCTCTGCAAACCTTCTCTCCTCTCACTCTCTGAGCCTAACACCAACCTCCAAAATCCTAGGGGGAAACCCTGAACCAGGACCCGGCCTCGAAGTGGCGGCAGCACCTTCGGAGAAGGAACGCGTCAGCGCTCTCGAGGCATTGGCCTCTAAATTTCCACTGGTGCCAGGACAAAAAAATCTGGAGCAGTCTCTGGCACTGCTCCAGACGAATCGCCACGTTGGCGAGAAGATCTTCCTCGGCATCACCAGCACGACACCCACAGCCGCGACCAACAAGGGCCTTTTGCAGACAAACCTCCAGACGGTCTTGGCCAAGATCTCGGAGCTTCACGAAGTTGTTGTTGTCAGGACAATACAACAAGAGCCCCGTAAGCAGCTTGCTCGTCAGCAGTTTGCTTCGGGAGGCCGGCTTCATAATTAGTCGGGGCAGTCTGCGAGCTCCCGGAGAGCAGGACGATGTGCCGTGGAAGGGTGTCGAAGCAGCAGTGGGCGGCTGCGAGGATCTCTGCATCCTCTTAAATTATCTTAGAGCTCTGCTTAAGCAAAGTTTTCCGAGTTCGATCTAGTCAAGCCAACACCGGCGCTCGAGCGGCAGCAGGAACCAGGTAGCTAACCCAGAAGTTTGAATGCATTGCACGAGTTCTTGTAATCTTAAGTTGTCTTCGTCTGCAAGAATGATTGAAGTCTATGTTCGTGGCGAATGGGCAGGAGCCATTCTTGGCATTCCCTGCCATGAAGGCCAAGGCCGCCGAAGTTAAACACTGCCTCAGGCCATTGATCGAGGTGTGGAAGCTGCACTATATGCCTTCACACTCACAAGAGGACGCTCAAGTGCTGCTTCTCTTGCAGCGAGCAGCGGAAATGGACGAGCTGCTAGATCAGGATCCCACCCAAGCCGTGCTCCTTGACCGAGACACCCTGCTCCTCGGTTTCGAGTACTTCACTTTGATGGGTGTTTCATGAAGCGGTTTTTGCTGCAGGGAGACATGGCCTTCAATGTGACCTTTAAGTCTCACTGGCTGTGCCACGGAATCTTGGAAAGTGCCTTCTTAACTCCACGGGTCGGTGCCTGCTATGGGCAAGAAGACCTAGTGCAGATCGTTCGCCACATGGTGAGTGTCTGCACCCGGTCAAGGAACCCTGTAGCCACCGTACAGAAGGCCATGCAAAAGTATGTCATGGCATTGCATGTTGACTGCAACCGGATGTGACATCTGCAGTTTGAGCACAATTTATTTTGCATGCAGTCGGCTCCTCATGTGCAGCGGTTCAGGATGCCCGCAGTGGCGCCTATCTATATGTATGTATATATATATATATATATATATATACACATATATGTATAGGATGCCTGGAGTGTGCTCCTATATAAGCAAGTGGGCAGATAGTATGGGATGCCTGCAGCGCGGCTCCTATTGGGCAGATAGTATAGGAGTATAGGATGCCTGTAGTGTGGCTCCTATTCAGCAGATAGTAGGATGCTTGCGGCGGGCTCCTATTCAGCAGATAGCAGGATGCCTGCAGCGGGCTCCTTTGAGTAGGGTTTACCGGGTGAAGGGTTTGGGGTATTTAGGATGCCTGCAGTGGGCTCCCCTGTGGCCTCCGTCTGCATGTGCCGCTTGCATATGTTGTATGTCTTGCATTTCCAACAGCCCTCACAGCACTCCCGCTGCAGAGCCGCGATGATCGTGGGGCTTCTGATGTTCATGTGCAGCAGCACATGCAACGCAGGACCAGTGGAAGAGGCTCCTCGCTTGCTCCGCGAGCAACAAGGAGCACAAAGACAGCAAACGGAGCTGCAGATGCAAATGCTGCTTGCAATGCAGCAGCAGCAGCAACAGCAGCAACAACTGCAACAGTAACAGCTGCAGCTGTTTCCGCCTGTGCCGCCGAAGCTTTTCCCAAGCTTCGGGCGAACGATCCCTCAGATGGCTTTTGCAGCGCTAGCAGGGGCCATCCCGACAGCGCCCCTCCTTTGGAGCTTGGTCGATCACTATAGGGGACGAAATGTCCCACCCAGTTCGCGTCACTTTGGACGGTGCCGAGCTGAAATACACACTCGTGATTCGCTTACGAAGCCCTTGTCAGATTGTGGGATCCCACCAAGAGGGTTAGAGGGTTACTCTATCCGACTCGTCAGCCCTCAGCGCACGGCACCGGAGGAGAGCCGTTTTCGAGTGTACCGCGCCACGGAACCCTCTAAACCCGAAGCTGTACACGTCCGATAATAAGGGACGGCCCTGGACGGTACGCACCTCCACATTAGAGTCCACCAGCGTCTGAAGGACGCGGCCCGACTCCTTGCATGCCTGCGCCTTTTGCTGGTCGATAAGCAGGCGGGCGATGCCACCGCGGGAGCGTGCGACGATGGCACAATCCGTAATGCGGGGGACTTGCGGGGGTCATCGTATGTGAAGGCCGTCATGAGCATCTCGATGCATCCAGCATCGGTCCCTTCCTGCAATAGCGGTTCAAGAAAGGAGGGTAGCGTCTCGGACGCGGGCGCGACTGTCACAGCCTGCCGAGCTTTGTTATCGCGGGACTGTCGGAGTACATGCTGAGCACGAACCTGCGCTGCAAGGCCCCTTGCTCCCGCCTGCTAGATGCGTCCACTCCTTCCTCAGAAGCATAAGTTCGAATTGAGCTCCCCCAGAACCCGTGCTTTTCATGCTCCTACATGACGAGTCACCGGTGATGCTGGCATCGTCGGCGCTTACCACTGCAAGCTGCAGTTCTGGTGCACTGCGGGCAGGAGACAAAGGCAACTTAGGGGTAGAAACATTGGGAGCTTGCTGGGCCGATGGCACCCAACTGGAATGCCACACTGACATGTACTCCTTGTCCTTTGAAGTCTCCTGGTTCGAGGTTCGAGCAGAGCTGATGCACTGAGGCGCGCCCAGCGGGATTTAGACCGCATAGCTTAACCGGTTGGCGCTCCGATTCTGCTACGTCCAGGACGAGCTGCACGCTCTGCAAACCTTCTCTCCTCTCACTCTCTGAGCCTAACACCAACCTCCAAAATCCTAGGGGGAAACCCTGAACCAGGACCCGGCCTCGAAGTGGCGGCAGCACCTTCGGAGAAGGAACGCGTCAGCGCTCTCGAGGCATTGGCCTCTAAATTTCCACTGGTGCCAGGACAAAAAAATCTGGAGCAGTCTCTGGCACTGCTCCAGACGAATCGCCACGTTGGCGAGAAGATCTTCCTCGGCATCACCAGCACGACACCCACAGCCGCGACCAACAAGGGCCTTTTGCAGACAAACCTCCAGACGGTCTTGGCCAAGATCTCGGAGCTTCACGAAGTTGTTGTTGTCAGGACAATACAACAAGAGCCCCGTAAGCAGCTTGCTCGTCAGCAGTTTGCTTCGGGAGGCCGGCTTCATAATTAGTCGGGGCAGTCTGCGAGCTCCCGGAGAGCAGGACGATGTGCCGTGGAAGGGTGTCGAAGCAGCAGTGGGCGGCTGCGAGGATCTCTGCATCCTCTTAAATTATCTTAGAGCTCTGCTTAAGCAAAGTTTTCCGAGTTCGATCTAGTCAAGCCAACACCGGCGCTCGAGCGGCAGCAGGAACCAGGTAGCTAACCCAGGAGTTTGGATGCATTGCACGAGTTCTTGTAATCTTAAGTTGTCTTCGTCTGCAAGAATGATTGAAGTCTATGTTCGTGGCGAATGGGCAGGAGCCATTCTTGGCATTCCCTGCCATGAAGGCCAAGGCCGCCGAAGTTAAACACTGCCTCAGGCCATTGATCGAGGTGTGGAAGCTGCACTATATGCCTTCACACTCACAAGAGGACGCTCAAGTGCTGCTTCTCTTGCAGCGAGCAGCGGAAATGGACGAGCTGCTAGATCAGGATCCCACCCAAGCCGTGCTCCTTGACCGAGACACCCTGCTCCTCGGTTTCGAGTACTTCACTTTGATGGGTGTTTCATGAAGCGGTTTTTGCTGCAGGGAGACATGGCCTTCAATGTGACCTTTAAGTCTCACTGGCTGTGCCATGGAATCTTGGAAAGTGCCTTCTTAACTCCACGGGTCGGTGCCTGCTATGGGCAAGAAGACCTAGTGCAGATCGTTCGCCACATGGTGAGTGTCTGCACCCGGTCAAGGAACCCTGTAGCCACCGTACAGAAGGCCATGCAAAAGTATGTCATGGCATTGCATGTTGACTGCAACCGGATGTGACATCTGCAGTTTGAGCACAATTTATTTTGCATGCAGTCGGCTCCTCATGTGCAGCGGTTCAGGATGCCCGCAGTGGCGCCTATCTATATGTATGTATATATATATATATATATATATATATATATATACACATATATGTATAGGATGCCTGGAGTGTGCTCCTATATAAGCAAGTGGGCAGATAGTATGGGATGCCTGCAGCGCGGCTCCTATTGGGCAGATAGTATAGGAGTATAGGATGCCTGTAGTGTGGCTCCTATTCAGCAGATAGTAGGATGCTTGCGGCGGGCTCCTATTCAGCAGATAGCAGGATGCCTGCAGCGGGCTCCTTTGAGTAGGGTTTACCGGGTGAAGGGTTTGGGGTATTTAGGATGCCTGCAGTGGGCTCCCCTGTGGCCTCCGTCTGCATGTGCCGCTTGCATATGTTGTATGTCTTGCATTTCCAACAGCCCTCACAGCACTCCCGCTGCAGAGCCGCGATGATCGTGGGGCTTCTGATGTTCATGTGCAGCAGCACATGCAACGCAGGACCAGTGGAAGAGGCTCCTCGCTTGCTCCGCGAGCAACAAGGAGCACAAAGACAGCAAACGGAGCTGCAGATGCAAATGCTGCTTGCAATGCAGCAGCAGCAGCAACAGCAGCAACAACTGCAACAGTAACAGCTGCAGCTGTTTCCGCCTGTGCCGCCGAAGCTTTTCCCAAGCTTCGGGCGAACGATCCCTCAGATGGCTTTTGCAGCGCTAGCAGGGGCCATCCCGACAGCGCCCCTCCTTTGGAGCTTGGTCGATCACTATAGGGGACGAAATGTCCCACCCAGTTCGCGTCACTTTGGACGGTGCCGAGCTGAAATACACACTCGTGATTCGCTTACGAAGCCCTTGTCAGATTGTGGGATCCCACCAAGAGGGTTAGAGGGTTACTCTATCCGACTCGTCAGCCCTCAGCGCACGGCACCGGAGGAGAGCCGTTTTCGAGTGTACCGCGCCACGGAACCCTCTAAACCCGAAGCTGTACACGTCCGATAATAAGGGACGGCCCTGGACGGTACGCACCTCCACATTAGAGTCCACCAGCGTCTGAAGGACGCGGCCCGACTCCTTGCATGCCTGCGCCTTTTGCTGGTCGATAAGCAGGCGGGCGATGCCACCGCGGGAGCGTGCGACGATGGCACAATCCGTAATGCGGGGGACTTGCGGGGGTCATCGTATGTGAAGGCCGTCATGAGCATCTCGATGCATCCAGCATCGGTCCCTTCCTGCAATAGCGGTTCAAGAAAGGAGGGTAGCGTCTCGGACGCGGGCGCGACTGTCACAGCCTGCCGAGCTTTGTTATTGAGCACAAACCTGCGCTGCAAGGCCCCTTGCTCCCGCCTGCTAGATGCGTCCACTCCTTCCTCAGAAGCATAAGTTCGAATTGAGCTCCCCCAGAACCCGTGCTTTTCATGCTCCTACATGACGAGTCACCGGTGATGCTGGCATCGTCGGCGCTTACCACTGCAAGCTGCAGTTCTGGTGCACTGCGGGCAGGAGACAAAGGCAACTTAGGGGTAGAAACATTGGGAGCTTGCTGGGCCGATGGCACCCAACTGGAATGCCACACTGACATGTACTCCTTGTCCTTTGAAGTCTCCTGGTTCGAGGTTCGAGCAGAGCTGATGCACTAAGGCGCGCCCAGCGGGATTTAGACCGCATAGCTTAACCGGTTGGCGCTCCGATTCTGCTACGTCCAGGAGTAGCTGCATGCTCTGCGAAGCCTTCTCTCCTCTCACTCTCTGAGCCTAACACCAACCTCCAAAATCCTAGGGGGAAACCCTGAACCAGGACCCGGCCTCGAAGTGGTGGCAGCAGCGTCGAAGAAGGAAGGTGTCAGCGCTCTCGAGGCATTGGCCTCTAAATTTCCACTGGTGCCCGGACAAAAAAATCTGGAGCAGTCTCTGGCACTGCTCCAGACGAATCGCCACGTTGGCGAGAAGATCTTCCTCAGCATCACCAGCACGACACCCACAGCCGCGACCAAGAAGGGCCTGTTGCAGGCAAACTTCCAGACGGTCTCGGCCGAGATCTCGGAGCTTCACGAAGTTGTTGTTGTCAGGACAATACAACAAGAGCCCCGTAAGCAGCTTGCTCGTCAGCACTTTGCTTCGGGAGGCCGGCTTCATAATTAGTCGGGGCAGTCTGTGCGCTCCAAGAGAGCAGGACGATGTGCCGTGGAAGGGTGTCGAAGCAGCAGTGAGCGGCGGCTGCGAAGATCTCTGCATCCTCTTAAATTATCTTAGAGCTCCGCTTAAGCAAAGCTCTCCGAGTTCGATCTAGTCAAGCCAACACCGGCGCTCGAGCTGCAGCGGGGACCAGGCAGCTAACCCAGAAGTTTGGATGCATTGTACGAGTTCTTGTAATCTTAAGTTGTCTTCGTCTGCAAGAATGATTGAAGTCTATTTTCGTGGCGAATGGGCAGGAGCCATTCTTGGCATTCCCTGCCATGAAGGCCAAGGCCGCCAAAGTTAAACACTGCCTCAGGCCATTGATCGAGGTGTGGAGGCTGCACTACATGTCTCCACATTTACAAGAGGACGCTCAAGTGCTGCTTCTCTTGCAGCGAGCAGCGGAAATGGACGAGCTGCTAGATCAAGATCCCACCCAAGCCGTGCTCCTTGACCGAGACACCCTGCAGCTCCGTGTCCTCGGTTTCGATTACTTCACCTTGATGGGTGGTTTCATGAAGTGGTTTTTGCTGCAGGAAGACATGGCCTCCAATGTGACCTTTAAGGCTCACTGGCTGTGCCACAGAATCTTGGAAAGTGCCTTCTTAACTCCACGGGTCGGTGCCTGCTCTGGGCAAGAAGACCTAGGTGCAGATCGTTCGCCACATCATGAGTGTCTGCACCCGGTCAAGGAACCCTGTAGCCACCGTACAGAAGGCCATGCAAAAGTATGTCATGGCATTGCATGTTGACTGCAACCGGATGTGACATCTGCAGTTTGAGCACAATTTATTTTGCACGCAGTCGGCTCCTCATGTGCAGCGGTTCAGGATGCCCGCAGTGGCGCCTATCTATATGTATGTATATATGAATATATTATATATATATATATATATACATACATACATACATATATGTATAGGATGCCTGGAGTGTGCTCCTATATAAGCAAGTGGGCAAATAGTATAGGATGCCTGCAGCGTGGCTCCTATTGGGCAGATAGTATAAGAGTATAGGATGCCTGCAGTGTGGCTCCTATACAGCAGATAGCAGGATGCTTGCAGTGGGCTCCTATTCAGCAGATAACAGGATGCCTGCAGCTGAGTAGGGTTTACCGGGTGAAGGGTTTGGGGTATTTAGGATGCCTGCAGTGGGCTCCTCTGTGTCCTTCGTCTGCATGTGCCGCTTGCATATGTTGTATGTCTTGCATTTCCAACAGCCCTCACAGCACTCCCGCTGCAGAGCCGCGATGATCGTGTGGCTTCTGATGTTCACGTGCAGCAGCACATGCAACGCAGGACCAGTGGAAGAGGCTCTTCGCCTGCTCCTCGAGCAACAATGAGCACAAAAACAGCAAACGGAGCTGCAGATGCAAATGCTGCTTGCAATGCAGCAGCAACAGCGGCAACAACAGCAACAGCTGCAACAGTAACGGCTGCAGCTGTTTCCGCCTGTGCCGCCGAAGCTTTTCCCAAGCTTCGGGCGAACGATCCCTCAGATGGCTTTTGCATTTTGCAGGGCTAGCAGGGGCCATCCCGACAGCGCCCCTCCCGGCAGTGCCAATCCCGGCATGTCCTGCCGTGCCAGCCATAGAGGTCGAAGACACGGAAGTGGCAAGGTACCCATGGTTCCTGCCCTAAGCCGGCCGCAGCTCGGCTCTATGAAGCCTTAACCCTAAACCTTAATAACCCTAAACTCCAGCGACATAAATTCTTGCTGCCTCACCTCCTGAGGCGAAGAGCGACGCCACAGAGAAAGAGAAAGGCTGATTCGCATCCACAGAGAAAGAGAAAGGCTGACTCGCATATAATAGATGTTTCGAAGATTGCGGTTTTTTTCTCCTGCCAGGCGAGGAAGGAGGCGAAACTGCTCCGGAAGGAAGCGATGCTCCTGCAGAAGGGGGCGAAGCTGCTCCTGAGGGGGGCGAATCTGCTCGTGGAGGCCAGTCTGCGTCTGTGTAGCCCTGCAGCGAGGCCCTTTGTGTGGCATCCCTTGGTGCACGCGATGCGATCGACGATGAGGACGAAGAGCAGGACGAGGATATGAAGGCCTTCATGTTCAAGGTGGGGAATTCAAGTTCGAAGTTTTCGTGTGCACACGCCCTTTTTGCCCGATCAGGCGCCGGACAAGGACCCGCAACTCGATCTGAGGAGGTGCCACTGGTGTGGCATGATCTCCTACTTCCAAGGAGGATGTTGTCTTAACCCTCGCTGCGAGGGGTACGAGGGTCTGTAGATGCAATCAACCCTGTGACCAGCTGGTGCTTACAGCCCCGCTGCAGCAAAAAAGCATCGCGAATCGCGGTCGTCCCCGGAAGTTAAAGAGAAAACCATTCGGGCCGAGACACTTATGCTACGGCTACGGCTACTGCACTGCTGGTGCTTGTGGTGCGCCTGTGCCAGTGCTAGTGCCAGTCTGCTAGTGCTAGTGTTACTGCTACTGCTACTGCTACTGCTACTGCTACTGCTACTGCTACTGCTACTGCTACTGCTACTGCTACTGCTACTGCTACTGCTACTGCTGCTACTGCTACTACTGCTACTGCTACTGCT